TTAAATTAAAAAAAAAAGAACCCCAAAAAAAACCAAAGCAAGAAGACCAGAGAAATCTGTGGGGGATGACAATGACTGCAATTTCCATTCCAGATCAGAGGGGCAATCTTCCATGTTTCAGAGTACAAGAAACTAAGTTTTATGCAATTCTAGCTGCAGTCTCAAGGCCTTGATCTATGCAACTGCTTAGGCATCTACTGACTCCGAGGGGAAGAGCTAACTGCAGACTAGCTCCAGCCCTTCACCAGGGAATGTTTCTATGTATACTCAGACTTTAGAAGACAAAATACATATGGCTCACACTAAGCCAGCACTCCTCTCTTATTTTCTTCAGGACACTCACCTTCCTGCCTCTCTTGCTGTGATTGATCAAGCTGAAGATTGTCATCGATACCTACGGCTGCCGGTCTCTACTATAAATGCTTCAGATAGCTCAACATATCACATGAATTTCACCCTAACTATAAAAGCACTGTACCACCACTTTCTGTGGTAACTGTAGAAGCAAGGCTAAAGAAATGTTGCATCTCATACCTTCAGGAGAACCTCCCAGCCTTAATACTTTCTGCTCATGTTGGTGTTAAGTCCACAGATGCCAGAAGAGTATCAGCATGTATGTCTTCTGAGCCTTGCATATGTGCAGCTCATGGCAACCATACATGGCAGAATCATATGAAAAAAGATGGTGAGAGGCCACTTGCATGCTTGGACTCTCCAGTGAGGACTTTAAAGCATCATGGTGAGCAGGATTCAGGTTCCTTCTTCCTCTGACAGCAGCACCTCTTTCTGCCCCTGCTGTACCTACTGTCAGACCTGAGCCCTTGCAGGGAGGAGCTCAGCACAGCTCAGCTCCCGGCCCGGGTAGTGCTGGCGGGGTGAGCTTTGCTTTCCCTGTGAGCGGGGCATGGTAACCCTCACTGCCAATTACTCTCTGTCTAGTGAAACTTAAATAGTTGGAGAAGAATTTTGGGGGGCATAATATGTGCTAAGGTCTATTCAGAGCCTAAAAGTCATCCTGGCCTTCGCTTCCTCAGTCGGGGTGAAAGCTGTTGATGGAACAAAGGGTTGAAAACCAGAGTTTTGAGCCGTTGTGTGCCATAATCAATCTTTTTAAAATATTCACTGAAGAAAGAACTTCCTTCTGGAGCACACGTTGTTTACAGGCTGAATTCCATGCTGAAGTTGTTATTTATAGCTACTATGAATCTTTTAAAGGAGAACAGCCTCTAACTGCAGTAAGGGATGCGGCTTTAATAGTACGATACTTGCAGAGGTTGGTCAAAATGTACGGCAGCCATTTTTTTTGTAGCCAAAGCATTGCAAACAAAGAAATATAAAATGAGCTACACCCATGCTGATGCCAGCAATGACAATTACAGAGTGCATAAAAAGCAGATGAAGGAGTACCTGGGGCAGCCTCCTAGTTGGCTGCCAGTTTTCTAATCATTGGCCGTTCATTACTTCAGTTTCTTTGAGTTTTGTATACACAGGAGAACAACCAACCTGACAGTTCCATAAAAAGACACAATCACGGTTGTGATTGTGCATTATCCACAACTGAGAGGCAGTTTCTTTAATATCGTATCAGGCCTATTTTGGCTGTATTTGCAGAGACACAGCGACACCCGGTGGTTGCTGGTAAATATAACAGACTGACCCATCATTTATTTGGAGAACTGGATCAGGTCATTAACTAGCTCCTATGCATCCCAGGGTCAGAAAAGCTGCTCATTGAAAAAGAACGTGAATCACTATTCGTTCCTATGTTATAGATTTTATTGAAGATCCTAAACTAAAATAATCCAAAATAAACTAGAAATACACAGCACTAATTCTACTAAGCAAAGAATAATAAAAATGTCACAAGTCTCCATCTTTTCAGGTTACTTTTTGTACTTCTGTCTGAAAAATTCCTTTAAGAAAACTCTACACCTCTGGATTCTTCCAGCTTCTCACAGTAACATGAAGTTAATGTAGTGTTTTCTTAGAGCCCTTTCTAAACAAAACCGTATTGGCTCAAGTACAATTCAAATAACCAGCTGTTTTCATTTGTCACAAAACTTTTGCTAATTAAGTCTGTAGAGAAAATACTCTCTATTTTGTCTTTAGGGCAGGAGATAGAATGGTTTATATTCAATTTCTTATTCCGCCTTTATTTTAGTGTTTTGGTTAGAAAATCTGCTCTTACAGCTGATAATGTGTGAAGACCATTCATATTTTCAAGAATAAAGCCAGTTTAACTCTAAAGCATAGATTGAAATTTTATTGTGGATTTTTTGCAGGAGCCATGTCAGGCTTCAACATGGAAACTCGATGCCAGGTTTAATTAAAAATCAAATTGCTCTTGTGTTATTTTGACATAAATAAAAAGCTTCCTGCTTGAAATTAATACTGAGGAGTGGTTCCTGATTTCTAATCTAGCGGTAGAGCCATTGATTGTTTCTGTAGAGCAGCAGCTCAGTAATTCAACCACCTTCAGTCTTCAAGCTTGAGGAAGAGAGATGCTTATGAGTTGACTGTTACGCTACAACAGGGTAACACTGACTGCTGGGGTGTATTAATATACTGACTTATTTTCCAGGCTGTGGTTTTAATGAAATACTTGGTTTTGTCCTAAAGCCTGTGGAAAAAACTCCTAGTCACCCTTACTTCTTTTCATGTAGTGCTGGAAAAAGGTAGCTTCCTACCAATCACGCGTGCTCAGTCTCATCTTCTAATATATTGGTCAGAACAGGGGTTGTTTAGGCCTTTTTTAGGCTTTTCTGTGAGCTGACATGTCCTCTTGCCCTGTAAGTGCTGAGCTAGGTGTGCTCCACATTCCTACCATCAAACCTTCAATTGGAAGCAGTCTGGGTAATTTTGAGTAAATAACCTAACAGATTGTGAGTAAAGCTCCTGAGACATCCGTGTGCCATGAAAAAGGCCTAGAAGTAGCTAGGTTTCTGCAACTGCCTCCAGATCAATGAGATTTCTCTCTGGACACTGGAACATCCATGGGCTTGAAGAGGAACACCCCTTTGCTGTTTTCCCTATTATATTTTTGTAATTTGGAGAAAATTTTCTAATTCATTACACAAATTCTTATGGTTGTTTTCTGCCTTTTGGCAGGTGGCACCATTTGATCCAAATCTCAAACTAAATTTTGAGGTCTCACTTTTGAAAGAATTTGAGCAGTTGCAGCTCCAGCAAAAGTAACCTGCTCATTCCTATACCCCAGTAAAAGTTTAGTTAAATACATATTAATAAAAATCTCTTTGTATAAAAAAAGGGTGTCAGGGAAGATTCACATGAAAAAAGGAATGGGAGTAGAAAGAAGTAAAGTTAGAGGAGAAAAGCAAAGCAAATGCAGAGGAATAAATTTAAATAATTGCTTGACATATATGAAGGAATCCCTATAGTCAGAAATAGCCCCAATCTTATTTTCCTTCCACTGGAATCCATTATGTTTTCACACAAGAGAACTAACACAATAAGGACATTAATGCTCTTCTTGCGTGCTAGCTGGTTATTAGAGACTCACAATAAGGAAGGTGATCAGAGAATACTTGTCACATGCCCAAACTACCCTAATTCAAGGAAATTGCCACCTCAGTGCATCATATGAGGCAGGTCAAGGCTAGGGTGAAGCAAGCTTTCTGTGTAAGAATTTTAATTAGCAATGAGCACAATAAAATACATAAGCTGCTGAAAGTTAACAAGTGCTACTGTTTGAGATTTATGTTCAAATCCATGCTGTGTACTTCCCTTTCCTCACCGCCATAATGGATTAGCAGTATACTGGATAGTAATCAACAAATATTACAATCATCCTTCTAATCTTATTAGCAAACTTGTAAGAAGCATTAAGGACACATTTATACCACTTGTGGGAAACAGTCCAAATACAACGAACTAAAAGCTGCTTATCTACAAGCAAAAACAGCATTATATGACTGAAGGGGGCCAAGTTAATCAGAGCTATCAAGAGACTAATTCAGGACCAGAGGGCTGGGAAGGCAGATTAAATGATCGTTCATAAATCATTGAAAGCATACACTATACAGTATTGTAACAACAAACAATGATCTTCTGTAGGGTGCAGTTTCCTGCTTTCTATATATCTACGTTTTGACATTTTAAGTATCTCATCAGCATCTTTTTATCCCTAAGTTGTGAATGTGTAGCAATAGCATTATAACTCAGCTTATTAATCATCAGACCTTTAGGAAGGAAGGGGATAGACTGTAAAAACAAACCTAAAATTGTTCATGTTTACAGGCAACGCAGCTGTGCTTACTACAAGCACGTACAAAATATAAAAGAATATGATCCAAGATATCGTGAAGGAAAATTGGGGAAAGCAACTGAGAGAATGATGTGAAAAATCAGCTTTATATATGCCTCAGGCTCCTTTGCTTTATAGGATGGATAGGAGGATGCTGTTGGTGTATTTTTCACTTTCAAAATATTTTGTAGAAATACAGAAAGGTGCTGGTTTAGTGAGGAAAACCGCACACCAAAATGTAGGGTTATTCACTGACTCCACCATGGAACAACTGGGGTCTAATCTTATCCTGCCTTTCTTCTAGTAGGCCTGAGACTATCCACAGGCTACTTTGGCTCCTCTTTAGAACTGTCTTCCAAAGGCTCAGTTACCCATTCTTGAAAGTGGTTAAAACATTGCTCTTCAGTTGCTTGCTTTTTGACCCCTGTCAACAGTCCCAACAAAGACTTTTCCACTACTTACCAAAAGTAAAGTATTCCTCCAAGGACTACAGTTAGTGACACTTGTTTCTGATCTTCAAGACGTGCTACACACTGCCACTCTCTCTCTCTCTCTATATATATATAATATATATTATATATATAGTCTTCCACATTTCTAGTGCCTGATTTGCCATTGCTATGCACTGTATGTATTTACTTACATCAGTATGTAAGTAAATGAGGGCTAAAGTCTGCCTTTGCAAAGCACTCTGGAAACATGACACTCCGGGATAAAAGACAACACAACACATTGGTAAAAAGAGAATAGTCCTTTAATTTCAACAATTAAATTATGCATGGTTCTGTTCGTTTTTTCATAGGAAACAGAAAGGTCTTCAGACCAGAAGAATAAGGCCAAATAGCATGAGAGCCTAAAACCAGGTGAAGACAGCAGTACAATTTGATAGCACTGTCAAATCAAACTTGCAGTTTTGTCTCCAACTACCTGAGCAACATCATTTGTTCATTTTTGTGACTCCATGGACTTATTTTTCAGTTTTCTTCTCCTTTCCTTTTCTCGACTGAAAAGCTTTATATATTCCAATTATAGCTTTAGAACATTAATTGCCTCAGTGCTCGCATAGTCCTTTGGGTTTTGGCATAGCATGAGACGTAAGCCTCATCTGGCTTTCATTTTCTCTCTAGGCTTTACCCAAATCTTCCTGCTCTATAGCTCAGGTGTCCAGCTTGGTCCTATTATGTCCAAGATGTCAACGGGCAACAAAACTGCACAGCCACCTGGAGTACAAAGAAACTATTTTCTTCGTCATTCTAATTTCTCAGCATCTTGTCCAAGCTCCTGGTTTGCTTCCTAAGGTTCTTCCTAAGGTGCCTTAATTGCAATCATCCTCAAAAAAAGGATCACCGATGTCCATTCAAGCTCCAGGACTGATTTTTTAGCATCATCTCCAAGATCTTGTTCTTAGAAGGCCATCTGCCTGGACTACCCACACTTTCTTCTTCAGTTTCAGCAATAGCTATTAACCCTTTTTTGTCAGCTGCTTTGTGGATCTGAGATTTTGCAATTACCTTTGCAGACTTTGTTACCTTTTTATTAACAGCTTTCCTTAATCTACACAGTTAAACTTCAAAGCTAATACAAATGAGCTCATAGAAAGCACACACAGATAAAATGGACACTCCTTGAAACCACCGAGAGGCATGACAGGTTGCAGGATTTGGGGCTAATACAAGGTGACCTCTCCCTAACTTTCTTTTGACCTGTTTCTCCCAGAAGAGGATGCGATACTATTCTCACTCCATTCTCACTAGCAGACCACGAAATCCAAATAACCTAGAGCTGCTGGTTCAATTTCTGGTTATAGAGAATATAAATATAAAATATAAAATATAAAAATATAAAAGACTGAAAGTGAAAGCTCCATGGAAATAGTCCACTGGGACACTTCTGCTGGGAAAGCTTGTTCTCTTTAGGAATGCACCAGCTGAAATTGTTTTCTGCAGTTTATCTTCGCATCATTAATAAGTCCAAGATCATGGCAATCAAACTTCCATCCAGTCACTTTAATCTCCTTTAAATAATTCAGTGTGGTTAGTACCTGACTTAATTTGCAGACTAACAGTGATGCAGGCACCCAGTCTTGTTCACTGCTGAAATCTACAGATACCAGCTTCTTGACAGAGATCAGAGTCTGCATGAAGGAAAGCCAGCCATCACTTGTCACACAATTCATTGCCAAGTCCAAGTGCTGAAGGTTCTGCAGATGTTCTTTTTCAAAAAAATTGCCTGTAAACATATATTTATTTATGTGTTTATTTTTGCTTCAGTGAAAATGTTTCCTCTTCCTATGTATCTCCCACCCAGACTTGATGCTATTTCACTTACATTATTAAAAGTTTTTATTTCATTGACATTGTTAAAAGTTGCTGGGTTTCCTGAACTGTTTTTGAGTTTAGTCTGGTTTTCGTCCTTCATCTTTTCTCATACACAGTACCTTTCCTTACCTAAAATTCTGATCTCCACGTCAGTGAGGCTCCACTTCCTCAATCCAAGTTTTGTCAGCTGTGGCATTGTTTCCAGTAGTTCTAACAATTTTGTTAGGCAAACCTTTACATCATCTCCCCAGGGAAGCATCAGCACTTTCATCCCAGGTAGGACATTTAAGCCATCAACTAAATGAAAATAAGCGTGGGGTTTTTTGTTACAACAGCTCACTGTAAAATCACTTTAAAAACTTAAACCAAATCACATTTCAACAGTGAAGAAAATACTGGTAGGTTAAAGACTCCAAGACTGTTGCTTTGATAGCAAAGACCAAGCAGACAATTGTATAAAATATTGCTCACTTCTAAAAACTTCCCATTTGCTGACAGGAAATCGTTCAGGATACCAATTATATCCTACATAAAAATAAAAGAGGAAAGAATTCTTGAATTTCTGTCTGCATAAGCCTTAGAATTGGAGCTCATTCCCAATTTAAATGATTTATCTAAAGAAATCTGACTTACCAAGTCTGTGGATAGCATCTTCTCCTCTCTTTTCTAAGTAATTTTCTGACAAATCAAGTACATTCAGTTTCGGCAAATTACAAAGATTCTGAGCTACAAGAGGAAAAAAAGCTTGTTATATGTGAATTCAATGCACCAGGATTTGTCTTCTAGTGGACCTTTCTTAGATTACAATGTTATTATCCTGTTCCCTGGAAAGGTTTGATGTGATTTGTTCACACTACCTTTTATGTCTATAATTTAAGTGCTTATAAAATGTTTATGTGATAACCTATCTAAGAATTTTTCTTGGTATCAAAATGAGGTTGGCTTATCTATGATTTCCTCCTTTCGAGGAAAAAATACTGTATTTTCCACTTTCCTGCTGCCACAAATTTTCAGAGGCAGTTGTCTATGGTTCAATGATTCTTTCTGCTTGTTGCTTACATATTTAATTATGAGTTTCCCTAAGTTCTGCTAACCTGTTCATGTGTTCATGTGTTTTAGTTAAATAACTTTTATTTATCCTTATTTGTACTACTGTGACCTTGTTAAAATTTGAGTAGGTACCTGACCAGAATGAATCCTTTTGGCAACAACTGAAACAAAAACAACTTAGAAAACTAGTTTTGCTTGCATTATCCATTATTTGCTTTGCATTTTTTTTTTTGCTTACAGAACTATGAAATCATTTATCTTCCTCTTTTATATAACCTTTATGCTTAGGATTTATAGAAAAGCTTTATATAAACTTTCCTTACTGCATTTTACATCTTTGCTAACTGAAACTTTGTGAACCTGTTTGTGATTTTATCCTTATCTGCTTTTTTATTCTGTTATAGAATTATGTTTTGATTTTCAAAACAGACATACTCAGTCTGTAAAGTTACTATTACTATTCATACCTAGAATTTCCACGGCATCACTGGAGATACAGCAGTTGACGAGTCGGATTTCTTCAAGTTCCCTTAGGTCATCAGAGACTGATCTTACAATGTAGGTTATGCCATCCCTAATAGCTGTCAAATGACTCATGTATAATAAGCGTAGCTTTCTCAAATTTCTGATACCTTCAGCTATGAATGGATTAAAAAAAAAACCCACAGGTCATATTGTTAGGTGAACTGTTTTGATAAGTTTTAAATGTCTCAATCACAGCAAACAGCTAGACAGAATTAGACATTTACTGCCTGAAATACTAGAATTATCTATATTTTGATGCCTTGAAATATATAGAATCATAGAACAGTTTAGGTTGGAAGCGATCTTAAAGATTTACGATAAGTTTTTTTGAAAATAAACACAGCCTCCTCTTCAGCTACTGTATCATGTAATCAATAGAATCTGCCCCTCAGCGAGGAGAAAGTAACTCATAGAAGATCAAATGCGATCTTCCTGTGGAACGAATCCAGGAGAAACATTTCCTTTACCATGCCATCAAAGAGAGGATGGGTAGACATATGAATTGCCATCTCCATTTCAGTTACCGGGTTGTATGGCCCTAGCAAACATCATTCAAACTTTTCAACCTTGGTATCCAGTGACTGACCTTGCAGAAAGTCAGCAATGGGTCAGGGAAGGGAACTATATCACCTTTGCAACCTCCTGACTTGCAGTTCATGCAGATTAGCCAGTCCTGGGATCAGTATGTTAGATCTGTTTGACTACAGTATGCATTACTAACATGAAAGGAGCACTCAATGACAATCAGGATATAGAACATATCAAGACTTCAATGCAAATCTATAAGAAATTCTCTAAGTTAGATGATAGGATTTTCAAGTCCTAATAGTGTACAAACTTCAGACCAACTTGTTAAAACATTCACATTATCAGCACTGTGTACTTGATTATGGTTGAAATAGGAGAGAGAAATGACCTAATTTTTTTGCATCGTCTTCATCCATACTTATGTTGTCAAGTACAAGCCCTTCAGCATTCACCAGTTTCTTTATTCCATCAATAAGTCCACCTGCCAAAAAAAACCCCAAGAACAGGGATTAAATGACCTCCAGACCCCTGTTGCAATGTTTGATCACCCTCCTGGTAAAAATCATTTTATGTCCGGTTGCAACTTTACAAACTTAAAATTGTTGACTCTTGCCCTTTAGTTGTGTACGTCTGAAAAGCTCCACCTTTCTGTAACACCCTTAAAATAATTGCAGACTTCAATTAGTTTCTCCATTAGCCTTTGCTTCCCCAGGCAAACCATGTCCGGCTTCTCCTTGTGTATTAGGTGTTCCAGCTCCCCAGCCACATTAGGGGCCAGATTGCTAGTACCTTTTTTATACTGGGCAGCCTGAAAGGGAACATAATGCTCCAGATTTGGCAGGTACATCTGGAGCAAACTACACTACAGTTACTACACTCTTGCTTATTATGCCATTGTAATTTTGGGAGAAAACAATTATTCGAGATAGAAGCATTTACTTAATTATGGGAATGACATTATCAAAAGTTACTGCAGATTTTTCACCATATTAGGTATTAACCTCAGAACTTGAGTTTTGTTTATCTAGCCTATAGACACTATCTAATTTACTGTGGATTATTTGCACTAGAGCTGTTAAATTTTTTCTCCCATCTAGTATTTTATTAAAAACCAGATTTTTAATATATTGTGTACCAAGAACCAAGAATCTGATGGAATGATAACTTACAAGAATTCAAAGGCCTTTGTGTAGCAAGAATGAAGAACATAATGGAATGTCAACTTACAGGAATTCAAAGGCCAGACTTGACTTACACAACTAAATAACATAAGTAAATGTACATAACAGAGTAGACTACAGTCATTTTCACCACAAATACAGAATTGCATTCTAGTAATATGACATTTCTTAAACTGATCAAAGCCAGGCATCTTCCATATACAAGGCAGCCAAAAGCCCCTTTGTTTTACCTTTTCATCCACATTTATCTAGCAAATCTCATTTACTTACTCATTACCGTAATACTGTACCTTCTAGATTTTCACTTTGCAGATCTCTTATATGTAAGGTTTTCAGCTTTGTCATTGTTGTGATCTGTTGCTCATCTTCCACAGTAAGAGGGGTGGACTCCACAGTAAGATCTTGTAAGTTTTTACAGGTTTCAAGGACTTCATTCAGTGTTCCTGTGATACCAGCACTATTGCTGATGTGCAGCTTGAGGCTTGCAGCAGAGCAACATATTTTGCCCAGATATTTAATATCACGTTTCTTTAACTTGTTGAAATCTTGCAGTGTAATTTCTAAAGATCTGAGACTCTGGTTCCAGTTGAAGAATAAAGAGACAGCCTTTTCAGGAATGTAAGTTTTCAGTGAACTAATTTGAAGGTCTTCCACATTCTCATCATCTATTTCCTTACTTGGTGAGTAATTTCCAAAAAAATCTAATTTAATGAGTCCTAGTACACTAAGACAATTTGGTAAGTATCTAAAAAAGTCAGAGAAATAAATTGGGATATTTTGAGTATTAATGAAAATACTTTTATCACAAAAAAAATCTTCAAAATCTCTGCTCAAGGCTGATTTTGAAGAACTTTCATAAAAGAAATTAATTACACACTCCGCAAAAATATCCTTATCAGTTCTTTTTAAATCTTCTGTTTCTGTTATATTTTCTGATTTTTTTGTGTATTCTCTTTCCAAAGCCAGATTCTTTTCAGAAATATCTCTGTGCTGATCAATTCTTTTCAATAAGTCCAAAATTATTCTAGTGGCATCTAGAGAGGATCCACAAGTGTAGAGGAGCAAATTGAAATAAGTGTTAGTAATATCTGAAATAGTATTAATTTTCTGTAGATAACTATACCCTTTCTTCACGTCTGCTTCTTGGCAGGACGTCAGTAGTTTGCAAAGTTTTCTGCCTGCAGTGTATTCCTGAAATGATTTATGAAAGAATCTATATGTTGGCTTTAGTCTTTGAGCTGTGTATTTATTTAGAAGACCTGAAGCTAGTAGGACTTCTTCTTTTATATCAGCTAAATCCTCAGACTGAAAATCAAATCTTTGGTCAAATATTCCATCTAAAGCCAAGTCTCCACAATGATTTATGCTCAGCATAATATGATTTTCTGTTATTTCTTTTGTTTTGTACCTGTTTTTCTCCACCATCAAATCATACAAAGTAGAGAAAAGTAGAGTCTGGGTGCTTGGATGAAAATTACTTTCCCCCATCTGGATGGCACAAGCAATGATGACAAAGAGTGGAGTCTTCATAAGATTCTTCATAGAAGTTGCCTCTTTAAGCTGGTTTAACAAACCATCAGCCAGCTTATTTGTCAAGACATTTTTAATGAGCTTCTTGCAACTCTCCTCTGATAGGTCTCCTATTTCAGCAACCAATGACCCAAACTGTCTGATTTTATGGATAGACTCAGTCCTGGTAGCAATAATGACCATGTTCTTGAATTTGTGGTTTTCTTTAATCATTGCTTCTATCTCTGGACAGTTTGGGGGGTTGAATTCATCGTATCCATCTAACAGGAAAAGAACCCTTTGTCTTTGTGCTAGTAGCATTTTCATGAAATCTTGTTTACGGATGGGGTATTGTTCAAAAAGAAGCTGATCACAGACAGTCTCATATATTCCACCTCGTGTGCTAGCCAGGCTGATAAAGAAAACAAATTGGAATTTTTTCAAAGCGGAGCAATTTTCAGAAGCCCAGAGTACTGCAATTCTTTTTAGGAGAGTTGTTTTTCCTTTGCCAGCTTCTCCTTCTATAATGCAGGGATTTTTCAGTTCCTCCAGAAGGACATTTAGCGTCAGCTGCCCTTTCCTGCTATTTTGTATATCCTTTTTCCACAGCAAGATGTCAGTATAGGCAGTTCCCAAATCAAAAATTATGTCAATATCACTACCCAGAGGATGGTATTTTTGAAAAGCCGAAGATAGATACACATACTTTAAATCCTGAATTAAGTCATTTAATTTATCTTGTTCCACTTGCCCAGGAGTATCTAAGGCAAAGAGATCATGTATCAGTGAATTAATAGTCAATGAGTTTGTCAATTATCATTACTTTTGGAAGAACTGCCTGAATGTACTTGCTACATCAATGACACAGTGGTAAGCAAGAGGCATGAGATATATTTATTGCCCACTCTCTAGGTGGGACTTAATTGATAAGGGCTGTAGCTATTCCTTGTGCAGGAGATTCTTACAGTCTCCAAATACCACTCTGGCTCCACTTAATTCCTTATCTGAGGGCCTTTTAGACTTACCCTATTTGTGCACTGGATTCCAAAGATGTAAGCTTGCATACAAGCATATGAAAGTTTATATGTGGAAATGCATGGAAGTATGAGGGGGTTTTATGTAATTAAGTTTTAATAGGGAAAAGCAGCATTTTTATATATATGAAAGATATTAAGAGGTATTTAGAGGAAAGGTATTTAGAGAGAGATTTGTAAATCAGTACCAGTTTTTGACGGCTGGGTGGAATGAATTTTTAATCTAGTTCTTTTTTTTTTAAACTATGTTTTTTGCATTTTTGTTACTTTTGGTTAGTGTAAGAGTTGCTTTCATACAGTTTGGAGGTAAGCTTAATAGAGCATTCTGTCATAGATATAATAAAAATATAGTAACATCTAGAAAGTCTGAAGCTTACAAAACAACAGCTTCTGAAGGGAGTCCTGGAAGGTGTGTATGCACTGCTTTTTAAAGCGCATTTATGTAAACTAAGGGACAAGGCTGAGTCAGACGTATTTTAAGATCAGACTTTTGAAGCAGATGGAGGAAGCAAGCACAGACCCACAACCTGAAGGAAATAGGGATACCTATTTTAGGGAAATGCTGTGGCAACAAATGTCATGCCTCTCTGGGAGTGCTGAAAGATTAGGCTAGGCGTGTGCTTAACACTCATACAGTAAGTCCTTTAATGACATAACAAACTTGCAGTCTGTGCACATGTAGTTTCAGCTTCCAGGGAAGAGGTTTATATTTGAAAAACTCCTTACATATTCCCATTAAATTTGTTCATAGAACTGGTCTAATTCAGTGTTCAGCTTACCCACAACTCACTTATAACGTGATAGGATATGTTTATCCACCTGAACCTCAGCTATCTGATCACAGGTGATTTTCACCCTTTCAGAATTTTTCACTGGATTTGGGTTTCCCCTCTTTGTGTCTTGACGTTTGTAAAATTTCAATTTTACTGTCAATAAGACTTTATTCACCGTCTTATTTTCTCAGATGAAACAATTCAGACCATACAAATTGAATTAGAGTTTGCTTAACTACAGTATTATAAGACTATTGTAAAAATGAGTGCACTGCAAGTTTTTAATGAGTTTTTTTTTTCTACTATAATTTAACTCCTAACTAGAAGAAAAAAATATAACCAGTAATACTTACAATCTCCTTGCAGGTCATGAAAGAGAAAAGGGTTGTGTTTCTCAAGTGACTTAACCAAAATATTGCAGGCTTCTGAACCTTTATTCAAAATCATGTAAATCATCATTCTTGAGGCTTCTTGTTCAACCCTCTCACAGGTGATGGTATTCACTTCCTCATAAGACATGACACGGCAGGCCAAAAGGTCATCTGCTATTTTCTTGACAGTGATCATTCCCATTCTTTGAATGAGATGTCCTCTGTTGCTTTCTATAAATTCCACTGAGAAGGGAAAATTCAACTTCTTAGAATAAGTCTAGCTCATAGAGCAGCTGACACATAAACTGTCCTTTGGTATTCAGTGCACACTTTTGAGGTGCACTGAGTGGCTAATATCTACACAGGTACAAATAGTACCCAGGAAATGGTGAGATCTTAGTAGGAATGTGGAAAAGTTTATAAAAGCTTCTGTGAATGGATAGGAGGTCTCTGGCAAAAAAAAAGTGCAGTGTAGAATGTATCAGTATGGGCATAAAAGTCACAGGATATGTCTGAGAGGTTGGCTGGCATTGCAGAAACATATTAAAAGTTTCAGTAGGAATTGTTTTTGAAAATTAAGTCATTTACTAATATGTCTAAATACGGGTTCATATTTTTGGATCTGCATTAGAAGACCGTGGCAAGTTCATGCAGGGCATGACAAATATCATCTGATTCTTCAAACAAAACCTGTATGAAGTACTTAAACATTTTTACACTCATTTTAAGAGTAAAAAAGTCAAAACGAGTTACACTTAATGCCCAAGCTCATAGGCAGTCTTGAACACATCCCAGGATGAAAACGCTCCCAAACAGGCTTCTGTACTCTGTGGCTGCGATGGCTAAGAATTAGTGTCAAGGTATGCAAGGGCTCCTAACAAGAAGGAATACATATATGATATATATCCTATATATATATATATATATCCGTGATATCTATCTATCTATCTATCTATCTATCTATCTATCTATCTATCTATCTATCTATCGGATTCTCATCTCCCAAGCTAGCCAAAAATACCTGGCCAAAATTATTTTTAATAGCCAGTTGAAGGTAGGTAACAGCACTGTAGAGGCAGTAAGGAGATAAAAGCAAGATGTTACAGGAATGAAGTCGGGCTCCGGCCTGATGTCGGTAAATTGGAATCATTAGGGACACCCCCATTTCAGTTGGGCAGCTCCGTTCTCTTTCCTTCCCCAAAATGGGTAAGAGGTTTGAGCTATAATAGTAATAACTAGGGGAGTCATGGGAATGTCTTTTGTGGGAATATGTGTGTGTGCCACAAGCATTTCTCCAGAAAGAGCTGCATTTTGAGAATTTGACATTTTTTGCAAATGTGCAATTTCATTGCATGGAATTTTAAAATAAATGTTGGGGACATTGATTAATCTGCATGTCAAAATCAAAACTACTATCATTCCTCTAAGTTTTTTAAAAATTGAATGCTACAGTAAACAAGACTTTTTCAGGGATAATTTATAAACCTTAAGCTTCTGCATAATTGGGGGGGAAAGGGAGAAAGTGGTCCTTACAAGTCTGAAATTATCTGCAATATTTTGGAATATACTGTAGGAATGATTATCAGATGGCTAACACAAGAAATATCCAGTTCAGAAAAATATTTTGTCAGAAAAAATTATTAATCCAAAATTTTCTATCTGTAATATGTTGAAATAGAGATTTTTTAATAAAAATTCTCTATAAACGCTACCTTTAAAAAATGTTTTAGAGCAAGACTTTTTACAATGTTAAGAAATAGCCATATTGTATAACTAGGACATAAAGATAGTAATTATAATGCATTGTTTTTTGAAAAGACATTTCCTTTTTAAGGTTATTTGATTTTTTAGTTACTATTTACATCTAACATTAAATACAAAGAAACTGTAGTTTATAAATCTTACTTGTTCAGACTGAAAGTTTCAATGCTTGAACTGTGGAACAGGGAATCTAATATCCAGACTGAAAAATAAAACAAATCATTCTCCTAGACCAGAAAAACAATAAAGTTAATGAAATGCTGATATGAAACTAGTCAGATATAACAATATTCTCTCTAGGTGAATTGACTACAATTACTTTGATTTGATGATTCATATTTTATAACTTTAAAGCATGTTTCAAAACAATAAGTAGGAAATACTGATTTAAGCAAGTGATTTTAATCTTCTGTGCTTTAATTCCCAAGAAACAGATCATTCTCATAGACAAGCATAATCATTAAAATATAACCTTTAAAGTAAATTTGGTCATTATTTTTGACAGCCAGAAAGATACAGTTCATTTTTCACATTGTTTCAGTTCATGTTTCACATAGTTTCATAGTGTCATAGATATATATATATGAAGATTCTTCTTTTTCACAATTTTGTGATTAAGGATGGTGAATGAGGCATACGTCGCTTATTTATTTGTTTTTACTGGAATGATACCAAGATACATTTGGATGAAAATGGTAACTAAGGTAATAGCGTACAAGCCCAAAATTTAAATTAATTCATTACATTACCCAACATTTCATTACATAAAACTAAATAAAGGTGCCTTAAATAAAATTACTTTTAATAGATACAACTGAGAATAAAGTACCTTTGTCATAACAGGTAGCAGGTCAAATTAAAGATCCATCTAGCTCAGTATCTCATCTCCAGCAGTGCCTTCTGTAAGATATTCCATTCCTCGGGATCTTTTCTATTTCCATTATATTCTTTCTGAGATGGAATGCTAGAGCATGATATTAAGATACCATATGACTTTATGGATGAACACGGTACCACAATAATATTCTCCCTTTCATTCTTCATTTTCTGACACTTCCTTCCATTTGCTTCTACTGAGTGTTGATCAGGTATTTTCACAGAGCTATCAATTTTAATCCCCAGCTCTCATTTGTAAATGTTAATCACCATCCTCATGTAAGCAAACCCACAATTTTTAAGAGTAACAACAAAAAACTGAATAAAAAATATTGTATGCTTAAAAAAGCTTTTTTAAAAAATCCTTAAAATACTCAAATATCAAGTGTAGAAGCACGGTCTATTGACTTTAACCCTCTCTAAGCCAAAACTGAAATATTCTAAAGCTACTAGAATCTACAATAGTTTTCAGTATTACCAGCTTTACTTAGTAATAATAGTAATAATATCATAGTTTGTAGCACACTAAATAGAATGTTAATAGTTTGTAGTAATTAATAATAGTTGCTAGTGTACTAGCTTATTACTTAGCCATAAATTTTGGCTAGCTTTACAGTCCTGAAAGACTAATAGCTTTTTTAAGCAAATGTTACACCGGCTTTTTTGTTGTTGTTGTTTAAAGAACTAGTTAAAATAAACAGATGCAAATTCCCTACTGCAAAAGGCATGTAAGGTTTCTTAAGAAAAAAAAATAGCAAAATTAAGTTAAAACATCTCTGAACTTTCTTCTTTACAAATATTCAAGAAGTAAGGTAGTGTTAAGAAAGAAAGCAGTTTACTCACATCATGGTGCTCTTAAATTAAAAAGACTCAGCAGCAAAGTGTCATAGTACTTGTCGAAAACTGACTCCATGTTATCTGTAGGTTCCTCCTCTGTAAGGTTCCTCCTTGTACAATTACTTAATATCTTGTTTGCGCAATATCTTTCTGTTGCCAGAAACATATGAAACTCTTTCTTGATGTAAAGCAAGTTCCGGTTCATAACTATTTGAAATTTTACGATACAGTAGTTACCAAAAACATAGCCTTCAGTCCAGGGTTAATGCTCAAGTTAGTAAATATTTCTATCACCAGTAGAAATGAATGTATCTATGATGCATTTACTTCATTCACTCTGTAATGGTTTTATTAAAATATAGCAAATTTAATTGATGAGTGAGATGTTCACTGTGGGACTCTGTGATATCCAGATGTGGAGTCCAAGAAGCCAGGGCTCAGGGCTTTCCTCACTAATTGACTCAAGCAACTAGATATAGTGAGGCAGGGACAAGGATCTAACAGCCCTAGACGCAAATGAAAAAGCCATTTTAAAGTGGATGATTCATACTATTTGCATAAAGATTATTCTCATATTACTCCGAGACATTAAATAAAACTCCCCAGCAACTTTGTCTACTTCCCGTCACACCAGTCAGCTCCAGACTTCCCCCAAGAAATTGCAAGATGACTCTTAACATTGATTCTTACTTCCTTTTCACACAGTAAATATTACAAAATGTTCCAGTAAATTCACATACTGAATGATTCTTGTACTTCTAAAATGAAAATTAAACAGGAGTCCTTCCATCATGGTTTAGGCTGAATTGGCCTCCCCTTACCTCTCTCTCCAAGGAAAAGAGGAGGAAGGATAAAGAGATTCATGAGTTTATAATGAACTAAACTAATGAAATATTAAAAAGAAAATAAAAAGGAAATAATGAAATAATACAATATATACAAAACTGTATCAAGCTCCCAGGCTGATGTCACCGGCAGGCACCAGGGAAGTCCCAAACTGGACTCAGTGACGGATGGGAACTGGACTCAGGAACATAAAGATTGGGATCAAAGGCAGATGAACAGAGTCCTCCTTGGACGTCGGCCATTGCAGAAAGAGGGCTGATCCTTTGATCCCTCAACTTTTATACTGAGCATGATGCAGATGGGATGGAATACCCCTGGTGGTCAGTTTTGGGTCACCTGTCCTGTCCGTTCCTCCCTGCAAGTGGGACCCCTCAGCAGTTTTCCATTTCCAACCCTCCAATGTGGTAAATAACAAAATTAGCTGACCTCGGTGGTTACAGCAATAAGTATAAAAAAAGTCTCTCTACACACCATTCCTTGACATTGACTATAAACAACTGTAAACATTGTCTTATGACTCTGAGAACAAACAGCAATATGCTGTTAATTTCAGAGAGTTAAAAGAGGCTTAGATAAGAAGTAAAATTACTGAAGAGAAAGTTGGTTCTTTCACCTCAAACCAGGACGATTATATACGGAAACAATTAGTGACAGGGTTGCAGATGACCATGATTGATACTGCAAAGTGGAGCCATATAAAGTATCAGTGGATAGTAAAGATGGAGACAAATCCTTCTGACCAGTCAAAAGGAAGGATGCATTTTTTCATATCCATCATGGAAGGAACATATTTGGGATGATACTTTTATTCGACAAAGTAAAAAATACTAAGTCCAGAGCTGCATTTGAAAGGCTGCAAAATCTTTTGCTACTGAAAGTAATTTCAACGTACTATTTTCAGCAGTATGCAGGAAGCGGGTAACGTGGGTCAAGCAGCATCTAAAAAGACACAATCTCTCACTATGAAATGAGAAGCAGATTTTCAATTAAACAGGGCAACAGGCAGATGGTAGGTGGAGGCAGGCACGGGGCATTGGCCGTATGGGTGGGGAGACACTGGAACAGGCTGCCCAGAAAAGTTGTGGATGCCCCATCTCCGAAAGTGTTCAAGGCTGGGCTGGATGGGGCTTTGAGCAACCTGCTCTTGTGAGACATGCACGGCAGGGAGGTTGGAACTTGATGATCTTTAAGATTTCTTCCAACCTGAACCATTCTATGATTCTGGACGACTCTTGCAGATGGCAGTGAGGGGGAAAGATGTCATCCCAGGATTCTGCAGATGCCCGATTTCTGCTGTCAGCCTTCAGCTCAGCCCTGGGAAGTCAGACTGGACTAAAACACCCGCTCTCATGCCTTCAACACTGCCCATCATGATGACGGCAGCTCTTGCCCAGGAGCACCCAGCAAGGTGGGAGCTGGCCCAGCCGCCCCCCAGAGCCCCTTCCTAGGCCTCGCCAGCCGGCCTCCCCCACGGGAAGCGATGGCTGGAGGAAGAGGCACCGGCGGGAAACCCGGCACCGGCAGCTGCCCTTGAAGGGAAGAGGTGGAAAAGGAGGCAGCCCAGGAATCCGCAGCAACCGTTGGCCGGAAGATGACGCAGGAGCGATGACGCAAGAGCGATGACGCCGATCCGGAGATGACGCGAATGAATAACCCAGCACCGCCCACAGCCCCTCCACCCATCAAGTCGCACCTTCGCCAATCAAGAAGGAGCTCTATACTGGAGTCGAAGTGACCTCACTCCCGGGGGAGCCAGTTAGCATTGCTCCCCCCAAGGGCCAATAGCAGCGCGCTTTGTAAGCAGCCAATCGGTGGGGCGGCGTCCCTTGTTGTTGCCCCCCCGTGAGGCGGATCGCGCTGTGGCGTCGGGTGCCGGCCGCCGCCGCCGCAGGAGGGACCGGGCAGGCCTCAGGCCCCGGTGCCCGCTCGCCTCTCGCTGTCCCCACCGGCTCCGCAGCCCCCGCGGAGGGCGGGGAGATGCAGCCCCCGGGCCCGCAGCCGCCGCCGCTCTATGCGCCCAGCAACGGGGACTTCACCTTTGTCTCCTCGGCGGACGCCGAAGGTGAGCGCGGGGCCGCGGGTTTGGGGCCGCTCTCGTTTTTCCCGGGAGAAGGGCTCGGCCGGGCCCCGGGCGAGCGGTCGGCTGCCGGGCCGCTGAGGCGAGCGGGGCCTTTCGTGCCCTCCTCCCCCCGCTCCCGAGGCTGGTGGCGTGGCTGGAGGCGGAGCGGGCCGGCTGAGGTGGCCGCGGTGGCTGCTGCCCTCGGGCCGCGGCTCCGGGTCTCCGCTGCGGGCAGGGTGCGGGGAGCGGGGTTAACCCCGCTGTGAGCAGCCGCGCTACCCGCGCGGGGGAAGCACCAGCGTGGCAGAGCCGGCCGCGGCGCTCCGGTTGTCGGCTTCTCCGAGAGCCGTCATCCAGGTTGTGCCCGGCGACCTGCCGTCACCGTGACAAGCGCTGTCACGGCCCGCTCCCTGCCCCGCGTTCCTGGGAGCGCCCTTTGGTGTCTGTTGAAGAACATACCGATGTTCACATCCGCTGTGGTGCTGTGCTGAAGCCTCTGTGCCGTGTCTGACTTCAGCACGGTAACGATGGAGGGAGGGAGAGGAAGAAGCCCTGTGTGTAGTTTGGGGTGTGAAGTGTGGCCTGCTGCCGAGCTGTGGTGTACCAGTGCTCTGTGAAGATCTGCACTAAGGCTGCAAAAATGAACATACAGGAATCAGCTTTATGCTGGCTTACTTTGGAGAATGACCTTTTGGGCTCTACCCATTTAAACAACAAGCATTCTGCTTTATGCATGTATTTACTTACTGTTGTAATCGTAGACAGGGGTAGGGAATCATGTAAATCTTGATTGTGCCCACCCTGGTAAAGAATTACTGAAGTGAAAAAGCTACTATAGAATGCCTCTTTGGGGAACTGCCCAGCCCTTCTGACAAGGAGTGCTAATCAACAGGTAGAATCTTGGCTGTGTTTTTTGTTGTTGGTTTATTTGTTTTGTTTTTCTTCTCTGCCTTGACCTGAAAAAGGATCTGTGTACCCCTGAATGGAAACTCTCTGGATTCCCCCAGAAGTTTTTGTTGAGCAATGTTGAACCCAATCCAGTGTAGCCACCTTTCCAGCAGGATGTGTTGAACTGGACTCTGCTCTATGTTCTCTATGAACACAAGCAAGGCATGATCTCCTGCCTGTTCGAGTGTAGTCCTGTCAGCAAAGTGCTGTATAGACCCACCCTCACAAACAAAAACATAAGAAAAATTAAACAGCTTAATATTTCTAAATCAAAATACTACACACTGCACTCTTAATTCCTGTTTCCCAAATCTTGATCCATATGAAAAATAAAACTATAGGCTGTTTTATTTTACCATCTTATTTCCATGAGAGGTAGGACCTGTTTGGGAAAGAATGCTGGAGAAGTGTTCTCAATTAAGTGGACAGATATGGTATGAAGAACAGACTGTTTGGGGGTTTTATTTGCCTCTTGTACTGTTTTTTAAAAATTGAGAACAAAGACTGTCTTGGAAGCTGTTTTTCCACGATGCCTGGTTGAATTGAGTCACATGAGATACCTGAGTTTTGCCTCTGCAGTGTTCTGCTTGAGACAGTAGAAGTGACGGCACCCTAACTCTCGCTAGCAAGCATCAGAATCATCAGTTCTTGGCAGGTTGTTCAGCGCTCAGTTGGTGTGCTCTTAACCATCTCGTTCACAGTGGTCTATAGAAGAGGAGGAGACAGTTGTTTTTTTTCCCTTGGTTTCTGCAGCTTTATGACCCACCTGAGATGTTTTGCAAAAAACCTATTAAATGTTTCAAGATTAAAAAGTGTGGTTGTAGGTATTCACCAGTCATTGATTACTAAAAGGAGTCTTGGTAAATAAGGCTTGTGTAGAAGTTTCCCTGCGTCAGGATGGATTGTCAGTGGTCACTGTGAAAGGAGAAATAAATGGCTGGTTGGACTGTTATATTTACTTGTTTTGACAGCCACATTTATGCACACAGAGTAGCAAGAACCTTTCCTTGCAAAGCAGTGTTCTGTTGTAGCATAAACAAATGTTTTAGAATGAAAAAGGGTCCCAGGAACAATAGAAAACTTCTGAGGCTTTCTCTACCTTGATGCCCAGGCATTAAGAAGACATTTTTCTTTTTTCCTCCCTCTGTACACAGCTGTTCTCTGGTGAGAACAGCGTATGTGTGGCAATACTGACAGCAGCAAAGAGAAATTCCTTCTTTAAGTTCTAAGCGATCTAACTTCTTTAAGATCCAGTGATCTTTACAAGGATTCTGTGCAGGCGGTGTTCCAAAATCAAACCATGGATCATTAACTCTCATTATTATGAAACAGTTAAAAAAGCATTTATGGAGAAGCTTAAATTTAAGTTTGAGTGACCTAGCAAGCTGATTTGGGAAGGAGAATTCTATTAAATTAGTTGTGGTACTGAGTGATCAGTGAACACTTCAGGCACGCTGGCTGAAACAGTGAGATTCTGTCACTGTTCAGACTTCATTTCTGTAAATCGATGTTGTATTCTGATAGAACGAGTTACAAAAGTAATCTACAAATACAGCCTCTGTGAGTGTTTCAGAAATACCTCTATAGCTAGCTGTTCTGGGAAATTTGTGCCTGGAAACTATTGTGTGAAGTACACATGATAATGGAAAGGCAAATAAGATTTTCTTTGGTGAAACAAAAAGGTATTGGATGAGAAGAGAGTCTCTGTCTCAGTATATTTGTAATAAAGTTTATAAAAAAAATTTACATGCTTGTGTTTGGATTTTTCCTTTTTAGCAAATAATAGAAATCCATGATTTCTCAGAGAAATAATTATTCCCCTCTTCTGTATTTTGTCTTCTTTCTTCAAGGTGTTTTGTATATATTCAGTTACTGTTTTGTATTTTTCATCTGAATATAACTGAGTATAATGACATGATAAAATTAATATTTATTGGTGGCTTTGACACAGCCAGAACATACATAAATTGCTCTTTGCTTTGTGTAGTACTCTAGCAGAACAAGATCATAGTATATTAAAGAGAACTTCTTGTATCTCTTCTTATTGGCTGGAGCCTAAGGATCTCTGATAGTATTCTTTTTTCTAATATTTTCACCTGTATCAAAGGCAGGCTACAGATAAAAACGTCTACAAATGTTTTCTTTTAATGAATAATTGGACATAAAAACAGAGAATGATTTTGTCTGAAACAATGTCACTGTACAGAAATGGGCTCCAAAAGAAATATAGTATGGGCAGAAAAAAAAAGGTAAATAAGCCACAACTTATAGTGATGATACTTTCATTAGATAATTCCTTTTATGACTTTAAATGTTGGAATGGGTCCAGTGGAGGGCCACAAAGATTCAGGCGGATGGAGCACCTCTGCTATGAGGACAGGCTGAGAGAGCTGGGGTTGTTCAGCCTGGAGAAGAAAAGGCTCCAGGGAGGCCTTACAGCAGCCTTCCAATACCTGAAGGGGCCTACAGGAGAGCCAAGAGGGACTCTTTGTCAGGAAGTGTAGTGAAAGGACAAGGGGTAACAGTTTTAAACTGGAAGAGGGGAGATTTAGATTAGATACTAGAAAGAAATTCTTCACTATGAGGGTGGTGAGGCTGGAACAAGTTGCCCAGGGAAGTTGTGGATGCCCCATTCCTGGAAGTGTTCAAGGCCAGGCTGGATGGGGCTTTGAGCAACCTGGTCTGATGAGAGGTGTCCCTGCCCATGGCAGGGGGGTTGGAGCTAGATGATCTTTAAGGTCCCTTCCAATCCAAACCATTCTATGAAATGCTTAATGATAAAGCACAAATTGAAGTCTTTCTGTCATATTGTAACCCTGTGTCATCAAAACAAGAGTTCCATCTAGAAACTAAAACTTGGGAATTTGAGATCTAAACCAACTCTGTTACTATTGGTTTAAAACTAGAAATAGCTTTTCAAATTATGTATCTGTTAAAGTATAATTTTATTGTATAACTTTGAATATGTTATGGTGATGACCAGGACATGTAGCTTTATCTGTCTGTTAATCTTCCAGTACTTTTGAAATCACATGGCTTTTGGCAAGACATAAAAAGGTGTATCTTTCTCTCCCTTTTTCTCTCAGATCTTAGTGGCTCCATAACAACTCCAGATGTTAAGCTAAATCTTGGAGGAGAATTCATCAAAGAATCTACTGCAACTACATTCCTAAGACAGAGAGGGTACGGCTGGCTTCTGGAAGTGGAAGATGATGACCCAGAAGATAACAAGCCACTCCTGTATGTCATAATTAATTTTTGGGTATCTCTCTTTATTAGCTGTGTAGGAAAAACAAACAACTTGTAGCCTCTCAAATTCTCCCACAGCCTTTTGCTGTGACTAGAATTATGTTTGACAATTTATTGACCAGTGAGTGTTTTCTGGTGCAGGAATGAAAACATTGTTTCTCACTATGGTTTTTATTTTTAGTGGAAAAGAGAGGCTTGTTGTTTTCTGTAGAGGAGAAAGGAAAGAGCAAGTAAAGTCCAATTTTATTAATGTCCATAAAGCTATTGTGGCTTTTCTGCTCTTATCTATTGATCTTGTAATGGTTTAGAAAATTAGATTGTATTCTTTCTATCTTTTGTGCTGATGTTGCAAGTTTCTTAATCTCATCAAAGAATCAGAGGTTATAAGACAATCCTGTGGAAAGATTCATGTTATGTAAATCAAAGTAAATTCTGTCAGTTACTCTGTTGAATCATGCTTATTACAGTAGGGATGCTATAAGCAAGGTAGCACAAACTTTGTGATCTTTGGTGCTATCTTGTATTACAAAACTAGATTAAAAGGGTGTCAGTGTTGAAAGACAAAAATGTCCTTAAAACTGAAAATCTCTGCATGTTTTATGCTGTTCATAGAAATGTGGTTGGTTGAAGAAAGTTTGTATCTTAAAGCTACCACATTGTGAGTCAGACAGCCTGGGTCTTAGTCCTCCTGCACCTCAGCAACTTCATTCTTAGTGTCTCAGTGTTTTCCTGCGTGAATTAAAGGTAATGATGCTTTAAAAAAAATGGAATGAATAGGAGAGTACTCTGGAGATCTCAGATGAGAGTGTTGGGAGATAACAGATGTCTGGAGAGCTTAATAATGAAAATGCTGCTTGAAAAGTACCTTACATTAAAGTGTGCAGAACTAGCTCCTTGTGTGAATAAGTCTGTTCTGTAAACTTCTAACTTTTAATTAAGAAACAGAATGGTGTACTGAGGAGACAACATATGAATTTCCTCTTTTGTCTAGCTTCTTATACCACAAAAACGAAACTTCTGATTCAAAGACAGGCATTCTAAGCTGCTGATTGCTGGAAGTGAGGAGAAGATGCCAGGGAAATGATCAGTTTGTGGCAAACAGGATGGATATAATCATCCTAATGGAGAAGATCTTAATCTGGCTTCCATGTAGCAGTTTTTATACTGTTCTGGTCATTCCCAGGACACGTGCTGTAGTGAAGCCTTGTAACCTGAATCCTACTAAGGATTTAGAGAATAGCAGCCAGTTGAGGGAAGTTCAATGCAGTGTTACTGTGCAAGCATTTTGTTCAGTAGAGTGAGATTCTTTTTTTTTTTTTTTTTCTTTCTCATTGGGCAGCCTTACTCCAGACGCTTGTTTCCTGTTGCAGCTACCATTACCTCTTCCATGAGGTAGCTGTCAGCTTCATACAGAAGACAGTTTATTCACATGAGAAACTGTCAGAGGCCCAAGGCAATGACAAAGAATTATTTCCAGACAGAAGACTGTGTAACATAAATATTTCCTGAGTAAAATATAGGAAAGCTACATCCTTCTTAGGTAAGGAATAGACAGATGGAGAGAAATAAATGCTTTTAGTCCACTCCTTAGATTCAGTGATGTGTTAAAGAACAATTTTTTTTTTAGTCACAAGTTAGTAATGCCAATTCTGAAATAGCTTCAGTAATAGCAATCCTGAAATTGCCTTGAGAGATTCAATGAGCAATATTTAATTATTTTTTTTTAAAGATAAATTGGAGTGAATCATGTCTTCACATTTATTTCTTGCTTCAGCTTTTCTGAGGAAAAAGCCATAAATCAAAGCCTTGTGGAAGACTTTCATAAACAGATTTAGGATAAGATTCTACGTTTTTCTCCACTGTGCTCTTAAATGTCGAACAGAGGGGTATCTGCTGGGAGGTCTCTTTAGAGTACTAGGTCATGACTGCATAAGGAAAACACTAACATACAGTTCTGTCTTAAGGTTCCACACAGAAACTTAAAGAAGTGGAATTGCCCATTACTTGGCAAGTCTGATTCCTTCTTGTTATGCTATGGCAGTCAGAGCAAGATGTACCAGTTAAGAGTCTCCTATGCAGAAGAGTCTTTTGGTCAGTTTGTAGCTGCTTACAAATCATTTGTAGCAGGGAGTGGAGAAGGCAATTTGAGAAGAGCAAGGTCTGTTGATAGAATTTATTGCTAGTTTAATTGGGTTTTATTTATTTTTACCCATATTGGAAACAAGCCAGCATCTAAACAATTGGCATAAACTGGTCTGCTGAAAACTGTTGTTGTTGAAGCAAGCTAAACACCGTTTTATTTTCAAAAATTGTTTTTACATGATGTGTTTTGAATGTTTTAGGATTACTTAATGTAAAGTTATTCTTTCTTGTAGAATTTGAAATAAAACTTTCCATAGTAAGGGTGTTCATGGTGAACTGCTCATCATAGGAATACAGACATCCTATGTATGTGTATGCATGTCTTTGACTTTTAAGTAGTTACAATGGTATGAAAGTGTCATGTGTTCCTGCTTGTCAGAAAATAGATCTATGGTCTTAGTGTAGTATGTTAGGGTATGTGGTATACGTTTTCTATTCTCAGTCAGATAATTGATTTTTGAATAATTAAATATATCTGTGTCACATCAGTTACTGAATGCAGGATGAAGGTGTGGTGTTGCTTTGTTGTGGACAGAACTGTTCCTTTGCTAGGCATGGCTTCAGAAGGCCTTATGGGTGACAGGAGACTTGCTCTATAAACCTCCTGTTTGCCCCTGAACTTACTTTTTTATGCTTTATTTCATTACTGTGGTGTATGCTAATAGCCCCTTGTTTTACTCAATTTCAGGGAAGAACTCGACATTGATCTGAAGGATATTTACTACAAAATTCGATGTGTTTTGATGCCTATGCCATCTCTTGGGTTTAATAGGCAGGTAGTGAGAGACAATCCAGACTTTTGGGGTCCTCTGGCAGTTGTCCTCTTCTTCTCAATGATCTCATTATATGGACAATTTAAGGTAGGTATAAGCCTTCTACCTAAAAAGATATCTAAACTAAATCTGGGGATGTGATTGCTAAGCAATTTGCATTGTTACGTAGGTAGAAAGTCTTTTCCTTACATACTAATGTGGGGCGTTTCAAATGCTGTTCCCCAAGTTAATATGTAGAAAGACAGCAGTAAAATAGCCCACGGATAAGTTAATCATGATGAAATGTCAGATTTGTTTTAATACAGTAAAACAAAGGAAAGATGTGGTTTCTAGAGGAAACAGATTGATACTAATGGGTTTATAGTCATATTAGTGAATCTTTCCATTTTAATCATGACCTTTTGTTAATGTGCTTTGTATTACCAAAAAAATGTTGCCGAAGAACATTTGTTTGGATGCTATGAATTTTAATTTCCTGACAAATAAAGCTATTTGTTTAATTCATACACCAGATAACAGTGGTGATATAGTATTTAATCTTCATTAGTGCCATTTGCTGTTTTGTCCTCCCTGCTCAATTACAATCAAATAACTTTCCCCTGGTAAAGAGACTTTTTTCCATAATTCCTTTTGAATGCTAGGGTGATCAGCTATTCAGAGCTATTGTGCAGGTTTAATTGGCCTCCGTAAACACCATTAGCTTTTTTTTTACGTTCAGATTGAAATAGAGAAGTGGTATAATTTATAATCACAATTTGAATGTGAGCCAAGATGATCCTTCTTCGGAAATCTTTGACTATGTTTGTAGTTACAGTTGTTTTGAATACAATGTAGCATAGCAATAAGCCATATGTAAAGCAGCAGAATATGCTTATGCAAGGATTTTTGTGAATGGTGAGAGAAAATCATTCCCTTTATGACCTCTGGCTGCCATATGGTGTACCAAATGCTGACTAAGAATTCACTCTCAGTATCTCGTTTCTAAGAGACTTGAGTAGACTAAACCACTGTATTATTCAAGTCTTCTGGGTGGACCGCTTAGCTGCCTCCTAGGCAAAGCAAGGACTGTTCCTTGATCCTGTGACAGATAAACTACCTTTTGCAGTTTGTGTACCTACTGTACCTGAACAGTAGGTCTAAGGTTTCTTAGGAACAGTGGATTTACCATCCCGATGCAGGAGTGCTATATCTGTATGAGGAGGGAAACTAGTAACTAGCAACAAGATGACTGACAGCAGCTCGACTAGATGAACTGAATAGTGGACTGTAAACTGGAGAGAGATGAGTGTTCCTGATCTAGGAATTTAATCTGGGCCTCTTCTTTTAGACTGTGGAAGAAAAGAGGAACTAAAAGGAGGCCATGCACTATTTTCACAAATAGCTTAAAGCTGTTATCTTAATTTTTTTGAAGTGGTGCTATGATCTTTGTCTGTTTTTAAATTTAAAGAAAAATCATCACCTACTTGATTCTTCTGTGAATCCGAAGCTTTGAATTAAGCAAAAAATTTGAATTGAGTACTAAATTTAAGTGCAGCTGTTGTACATTTGGAAATACAGAGACTGGATTGATACTGTTCTTTCCCTCTAAAAAGATGCTTCAAAAGGGAGGGCTTTACTTCTAATTCTCCCAGTGCCTCAACTGCAAGAATAACTAAGTTATTTGAAGGTTCTATTAAATTGGAGAATGATTTTAAGATCTCTACTTCAGTTTAAGAGCAGACCAATGAAAGAAGCAAGAAAAAATGACAGACTTTGTCCCAGGAGGCTGGGGCTGTTTCTTAAGTTGAAATCATCATCAAATTCTACTGAGAATTGAAGCCCTATGTCACCTTCTGAGCGTTCTCAGTTTAAGTAAAGAATAAAGTGGCATCTTTATGCATGAAAGAAGCAGAATTCCAGTACCTTGTATTGATTGGGCTGACATTTAAAAACTGTCTGAGCCCACCTTTTGTAACAGGCAGGATGTGAAGACATTTAGCTGGGGTGGTCTTAGCTTTAGTTTTAACTAAACCCCTCCTATGCTGATACGACATTACAGTACTTACAAAACACATTGCATGTGCATTCCATTTCACCAAATTTACCACTAATGCAATTCTGTAAACGTAACCACTGAATTTTATTCTCAAGTTGCATTGTGATACTAAGTAAAACTATTCTTGCTGCAATTCGGAATTAAGTTTTGCATAATACAATTCTTGACTGCACTGAAAGTGATTAATAGAAATGAGTTTTTCTTTCTCACAATGAAAATGATTAATATAAATGAATGGTTCTTTTATCTCTTAAAGGTTGTTTCTTGGATTATAACTATTTGGATATTTGGATCCTTGACAATTTTTTTACTGGCCAGGGTTCTTGGAGGAGAAGTAAGTACCTGTATGCGAAAAGGATGTAGAGGGAGGTAATGTAAAGTCTCTTGGTTATGTTTTTCAGCAGTAGTTGGGTTTTCTTGGTGCTTGGCTTTGTACCTTGTACCAAACTAAAAATGGATGCAGCTGGATATAGGATACATCTATAGTTCAGGTTCCTGGCCTCCAAAATAAAATCTAAAATACAGAGCTAATCTTTCTGTGTGATGGATGTCATACTGGATGTGATAAATAATCTGGAAACTTGTACTCTGAGTCCCAGGAATTCTAACTGGTTCCTGTGATCCAGAACTGAAGTCTGTTCTTGAGGGACAAGTGCTTTCAGTTTTTCACTCCCTGAGCTAAATTAGAACCCTTTCTCCTCCTCTGCATTGCTCTTGCACTCCCTTTTATTTAATTTTCTTTTTTTTAAAAAATGGGCTAACATCAGTTGTATAATGTCCTTGTGGGTAGAGCACCTACCGGTGTTTGTTTTCATCCTTGGCCTGATGCAATTCAAACCCATTAAAGGTTGAAAGTCACCACGTGTTCTTCAACTGCAAAGCCAATGCAAATTCTGGCCTACATCCCTCCCTCCGGCTGCTCGCCCAGCAGGGTTGGAATAGCTGCTTGAGCTGTTTACAAATGGAGTCACTAAGTGATTCAGGTGTAAACAACAAAAAATGACTTACAGCAAGGCCCACAGACAGCTTCAGAGGAACATTCAGAAGGGTAGAAACTTTTTAAAATGGCTCTGCAACACAAAAGGCATTGAACTGTGTCGTGAAGAACTAAATATCCAGTGACACTTGATTTTTATACTTTTACTACGCATCTTGCATTAATGATGAACTAGAGTTGTTGTCTTCCTGCATTATTTACATTTACTTTAATTTTTTTAGATTTTTCTTTTAATCCTAATTGCTGTAGTCTTCTTGTGTGAACACTGGAAAGGAAAAGCTTTCATAAATGTGATTACATGTTTTTTCTGCATACCAGCATAATCCAAAGGCCCTAAAATCAATCTATTTTTCTGGCTCAAAATTGAAATTATCAGAACATATAAACTGGGGACAAAGTATAGGTCTGCACAGTTCACTGTGAGGGATCAAGAGCCACAAGAGATTGCTTGCAAGATGATCACTTGTCTTTTCCTGTGAAATCCAAGAAGCCCAGCTGGGCCCGGGAACATTTCAAACTGTAGTAGGGGAAAACCGGACACTTTGATCCCCATGAAGTTAAAAACCATTATGGAAATATTCTGAAAAAATCTGATAGAGTAAATTTAAACTGAAAATCAGATTATATCTGTGAGGTCTTCCCCTGATGCCAAAAGCATTAATATACTTAATAAATTAATTTATGTATAATGGATATGAGTATGTTGATGCGGCAAATTATATCTTTGCTGCTTGTTACGGCCAGGACTGCAGCTGGTAACTGAGAGGTCTGTTGCAGTTCTGTGCTCCTGGGCACCAGCTGCACACTCCATGGAGAGTGGCAGTGGAGAACTACTTAGGGCAGAATGTGGAAATGTGAGGGGTTGGTGGAATTACAAATTTTAACCTGTGTAAATAATGCCCTTGGAAATGACAAAACTGTCGTTACAGTGGTAAAAAAAAAAAGACAAGACAACATATTTCTAAGAACTGAATGATTAATTACACAATTCTAGAGGGATAGCATACAAAACCAATTTTCATACCAGCAAATTTCCTTTAGCTGAAATTTCAGGAATACCTAACATACTATGATCACTACTACTGTTATAACAAGATTGAGTTGTGTTTGGTGACAATGACTGAGTACTAAAAAGCTTGGTTTTATGTGCTTGAAAATTTCAGGTTGCTTATGGCCAAGTTCTTGGTGTGATAGGATATTCCCTACTTCCCCTCATTGTCATAGCACCTGTACTTTTGGTGGTTGGATCATTTGAAGTTGTTTCTACCCTAATAAAAGTAAGTTTGGTATCATCTACTGAGAATTCTTTACAGTTGGCTTTAAGTCACGTTCCTAAGACTTCAAGTATTAATCTGTTTGGGACAACATAACCATGTGTCAAAATATTTAGAACTATGAGCTCTGTCATCCTCTTGGACATGACTGCTAAATGAATTCTGTTTTAAATGTCTCTTTGGAGTACTTGGGGTTATACAGTGCTGTTGCTATAACACCACCTGTTGTTACCACGTATTTTGCTGTGCTATGATAGTTGCATGAAAATAAATAGGATTATAATTTTGAGAAGATGGGGCATAATTAAACTTCAAAATGAAGAATCTGAAAATAAGCTGTTCTAGCCCTTCCCCCATCATCTAGTTTATTTTTAGTTACTGCAGCATGAATATGACGTTAGTCATTGTTCTGAGACTTGCCCGTAGTGGCAGCAGTACAAAGCTCTCAATACCCTTCGCAGGGAAGGTATGTTTTGTTCTGATTTTTACAGATGTGGAATGTAAGGCACAAAGCAAGAATAACTTGCCTGATGCCACCTGCTGTTGGACACCTTCTATGAAACTAGCAACTTTTCCTGATAGATCCCGGAACTACATAATGTTCTTGAACATCGCTAGTACTTAAAACCCTTTTAGGCAGCCTTTGAAGTTACTGCTGAACTTCTGGAAGGGTTGACCGAAAAAAAAATCGGTTGCTAGCTAAGGTGTATGCTTTCTGAGTTCTTGTTCTGTTGATTTGATTGATTTCTGTCCTTTCAGCTTGCTGGTAAACAGCATAATTGAAGTACAACTAAAGCATATGATAAATAACAATTGCTGTGTTTGTGATTTGGTAACTTGCAATTACTAGTAAGTGATACAGTCAGAAAGCAAATTATTAACATGCCAGTTAACTAATATATAACTTGAAAATAAATATAAGTGAATGAAACCTCTGTTACTTGATTACTACTAACAGTCTTACATTAACTTACATTAACCTGTGCAAGATTCTTACCTTTGCATTGTTAGTGTGAAAATGCAGGACAAGGCCTGGATGGCCAAAACTGCTCACGCTGAGCAAGTGCTGCTGTGTGTGGCTTGAGAGCTCTGTGCTAGGGGAAGTATTTAGCAGTCCTAAAGCTGGGGAACTTACTGTGAAATAGTGACATTTCAGCCAGTTCTTTTCCAGTTGCAATCAGCAAAGTAAACTACTCAACTAATGCACCTCAATTGTTGTAATTGCTGCAATTTTCTTAATGTGTCCTAGGGAATTCAGTCATGATCTTGACTGTCCCCTTGCCCACCTCTGCAGTCCCGGGTTAGGTAGCAAAAACAGAAGGATGCGATCACGTGCAAATTTTGCTTTTTCTTTTTTCAATGGCAGTTGAACGGGACACACAATCCCTTGCTGGGCTTCAGCTCCTCTGACAGAACTGTGGAGGAAGTCTTTTGCTGGGGTCCTATTATGTCTGCCCTCATTGGTCTTGGGGTTTGCAGGAGATGATGGTGGTTTTGCATGTCATTTGGTTTTAAGTATTTCTCCTTTTGATTAATAGTCGAGGTGCTTCTAAAAGATAATGTCTGATTACTTTTAGCTAAAACCTTATTAGTTTGAGTTAAGTTCACTGACCTCAAAACTTTTTTTTAAAGTATGCATGCTAACTTCATATAACATAGTGGATATTCATAGGTAATGTTACTTTCTACCAGTCTTTTAAACTGGTTCTTTTTTAACTTACTAAGCAATATAGGTTTTGTTACAGATTGTATTTTGATAGCTTTCTCACTGCACCTGACAGGAATAGGAATGTGAGTTTCAGTTACCTTGAGGTGGGGACACCATAAATAAAGTGAAGCTTATAAGCCAGATGAATCCCGAATTAAAAAAAAAAAGTAATATAATCCTACATAGCATGGAAGGAAGAATCAAGTATAGCCTACAGAATGGGAGGAGTTAATAGCTGACAACAGTTAAGATAGAATGGGGAGTTGTTAATCCGGTCAAATTTCAAATGATATGTAAGCTTACAGCTTGCTTGGTGCTATCTATGATGTCTTCAAGAAAATTTACTGTAGATCCTTAGTTGCTTACTGCAGTAAAAAGGTCTCAAACAAAAATAACATACATATTTGATAAATATTTCTCTAAACTTAAATGAAAATGCAGAGTGTATTGTATGTGTGTGTGAATTCTTCCTCCTTTCCCCCAATTCTTTTTGGGGAGTTTCTTTTTAGTTATACTGGGAGAACAACTGATTTTTATCTTGATATTTGGAGAGAATTTCTTGTGGTGTCAGCTAAGACTGTTTATCTTTTTTTTTTTTTCAGTTGTTCGGAGTCTTTTGGGCTGCATACAGTGCTGCATCATTGCTAGTTGGAGAAGAATTCAAGACCAAGAAACCCCTTCTAATTTATCCAATCTTTTTATTATACATTTATTTTCTGTCCTTGTACACTGGGGTGTGATCTAGTGCAAGATGTGGCCAGCAACCATATTTTATTCCCTTGCAGACTGATAATGCATAAGGCTGGAGATAATAAAGTGACTGTTTTGTATCCAGTTGTCAAGATGTTTTAAGATCGAAGAGCATATTTGTGTATATTATTTAATGAAGCAATTGTAGCTATATAGATTTGTATCAAAGTTCTAGGTTTGTTTAAGACTCTTCAGATTTTAATGAACAAAATAAGAACCTTGTGTTTTATAAGAAAGTGTAGCAAAACCACAATTCAATACCTGTGCCAAAAGCACTAGGACCAGATTACTATATTCAAGGAGAAAAATGATGTTAACTCTAAGAATCTCAAAGTGCAATTTTTCTTTTGAGCTTAAACACAGCTGGCTTTTTTGGCGCAGCAAATTCTGTAGATAATATATATTTATGAAACAGTCCTGATTGTTCACAGAATAGTCTGTATAATCAAGACATGAAGATACTACTTTTAATTTAGTGCCTCAATTACTTTGATTTGGCTATTGAGTTTTTATAAATTCCAATTTGTTTTCAAAACATGTATATACTGTGTATTTTGTATCTATGGCTTGTGAGTAGCGTAAATACTCCTTGGTTAAGGATGTATATTGGGTTTTTAAAAACTGAAGATATAAGTATTTGAAGTCTTCATTTACTATCTCTGACCAAAGGAGCAAGATATTTACTGCGTGACATTATTAATTAAATTGCATATTTAGAGAATCAAATTATTTTACTTAAAAGTATAAATTTACAGAGAAACGGGTGAACACCTTTCTCGACTGTAGTGTTGGCTTAATGTTGGAGAAAAAAGATGATCTATCAAATTTGTGTGATCTTTAAACAATGTTATTTTATGATGACAAAATAAAAATAATGCTTCCCTAACTATGTTTTACAACATCTTGCTCTGTCTTGCTTTTAGCTTGGTATTTAACACGCATCCATTTTTCTTTCCCAGGCCTATTAATCCCTTACACGGAGAAATAAAAAGATTTGTAAGGCCAGATTCTCCCTCCACTAAAGTGAGGCAGAATGACAGCCTTAGTAACAATTACAGTCTCGCTAATTTTGACTGTCCAAGGATTATGTAATAAGGTGATGACATGTTAAGTATTTCCTGTGTACTGTGTTGATTGCTTAGGCAGTGGTCCTTATGGTAATGTTTCTTCCCAAGAGAAGTCCACTGAAGTTCACTTTGCATGGTACTAATTTAGGCATTTACAATCTTCAGTATTTAGTATTGCCAAATAGATCTTAAGTTTCTAATTTATTTTTTTCTAACAGAAAAAAAGCATTCCTGCTGTCTTTTGATTTTTTTTTTTCTTTTTTGATTCTGCAAATAAAAATCAACCATGACAAGGTAATAGCAAGGGCTGTCTTTGATCCCTAATGGGCATATTTCCTTATCACAACTGTAGTTTTTCACCTTCTTAGATGGCATAACTTGCCATTTTGGTAACTTATTTTTATCACTCATTAGTGTTGCAAAATACATGCTTAAATTCCAACTTTGCCACAAACCTTTAGCTTATTCATCTGCTTTTCTGGCTGATACTTGTGTGTTTTAAACAGAACTATTTAAAGCTGGTGCTGGACATAAATTGTAATGTGATATTCTAGTTTGTAATACATGGAAGGAGGAGAAACTGGTAAAGTGATGGACTTTTCACCTATTTTTTTGACTTCTGCAGAAGTTCTGGTGGACTTACTGCGGAGTTGTACTAAACCAGTTGCAGCAGCAGCTTACTTCTCTGCAAGTGTTTTGTGAGCATTCATACAAAATAAATACATTATTTTAAAAAAAGCAAGTTACAGTGTATTAAAAAAAAAAGCATTCTAGCTTTGGAGTCTTGCATGATAATCTGATATTCTTTTTTTTCATTACCTGTATTTCTTTTTTAACAGGAACATCCAGCTAATACTAGAAGACTCAACGCAGGCTCTGTGACTACCCATTTAACTAACATCACCACAAACATGAAGGGCAAGGACCATTTAGGGTATTAGGCTGTCGGAGCTTTAAGCTTAGTTCCTCTGTCTGTAGCTGTTCATGTGGTGTCCATAAGGTCCTTTGCGTCTGAAATGACTAGGAATATTCAAAGGATGCAAGAATGTTCTATTTAATCTTCAAATCTCTTAATTTCTTCTATACTAATGTTCTGTGAAATTTTATAGTTGCGACTTTAACTGTTTCTTTCTGCAGACTTGGCACATGTGTAATATGCAATGTAGATAAGCGTTTAACATAGTACATATTTTGTACACAATTGCAAATTTGCACCTTTTAATCTTAGTATCTGTAGGGTCACCTTTTGCATACGCTGTGCAAGAAATATGTACAAACAGCTCTCAAATGGTTCTGATAGTTTGTAATAACTTTGCATTAAACAAACTCATATTTTTAGATGAGGTATGTGTGTAAATACAACATGTATTTTATAAAAATTTTGAATTAAACTTGTTTACAGAATGTATGAAGCTCATTTATATTTACTGAGTTACGATATCTATATTCTTACATGTGTCATCAATCTCAAGTTTTGAGGCTACAAATAAATTTTTGTGACAAATATACTACTTCTGTCAAAACTAGAAACTTACAGCGGATCTATGTAGCAAAAAGATTCCTTTCCAAGATGCAACGCCTCATTTCAAGGTAGAGATGCAAGAGATATCGTACCTTAATTAGAAATGCTTTTTGGATGATCTCCTGTATAGAGCAGCTAGGCATGCACACATGCACGTCTTTCTCCATCTTCTGCCCATCAGGAGTATTTTGTTGTTTAGCAGAAAAATCATACCTACTTGAAAGGTGTATGAAATCAATTGCTTTGATGCGGAGACGACACACAGCTTGAGATCTGCTTTGTTAGCCTTCTCTTTGTTAGCCTACTCTTGTTAGCCTTCAATGTTTTACTTGAGATAGTGAAGTGAGCTTAAAAGCTGCTTTTTTCGCTCTCGGGACAATTTGGACAAGCCTGGTGCGTTTCTTTTTCTTTATAGAGACACTACTTAAATCATTTCCCTGCTACGGCAGCCTGTGCTAATTTGGGTCCTCCTAATAAAAATACTCGTCTGTAGGAAGCCACATTATATTGGAAACTTCATTATATTTAAGACCCTCAGTGGCCCAAAATCTTTCTCAGTTATTTTAGCAGAACTCGCCACCCAGCTAAAGGCAGGCAAACACAAAAGGCTTTACTAATGTCATTTTTGAAGCTTGGCGAATGCTGCCTCAGAATAACACGCCTCCGTGGGCAGAATGACTTCATCCTCACTTTTGGGGTCAGATAAAAGGAGTGGAGGCTGGAACCATCGTATTTACAGACGATCCCGCCCCCAGGAGGCGGCGGGAGCCCCGTGTCCCCTCAGGGGCAGCGGGGACTCCCACTTTTCCACTTGGTACCGAAGCTGGGGGCGGCTTCAGACGGGGGCGCTCCCCCGAGCGCCAAAAGAACCCGGGTCTCAGCGCCGGGCTGTGAGAAACACCCCCCCACCCGGGGCTCCCCGGGGCCGGAGGCGGCAAACGCGCTCCCCCCAACACCAGCCCCAGTTCCTCGCCCGGGCCGGACGGCGGGCCCGCGCTGAGGCCCCGCAGGGACAAGTTACGGGGGCTCCTCCGCCCGGGGCGGGAACGTCCCACTGCCAGCCCCGGCGCACCCCGCTCAGGCGCTGCCGGTCGCCCCCGGACCTGGGCAAGGTCCGCCGACCGGGCCCCGCTGACTCCCTCTCCCCGCGCACGCGCAGAGCGCCCGCAGCCCCCACCGTGCGACCGGGGGGGTCTGAGGATGCGCTCGCGCAGCGGAGCCCCGCCCCTCTCTTTGCCCCCCGCCCCTCTCCCGTGACGGGC